ACGCAGTTTTTTTTATTATTATTATTTTGAAAGTCCATTGCTCACTGGCTCTGAATACACATACAGACAAGCCATGGGTCACAGGAGGGGTGGGATGTTGATTAGTATTGGCTTGGGATGGGTGTCATCACGCGTCTCAACCAATGAGAGCATTTGGGGTGGGCCTAAGACTGCAGCAGCACTCATGACTTCTTCATAAGTGGGAAATAGGACGTTTCCAATAGCGCGTGAAGACAGCAGAGAAGCACTCTCGCTCAGCACAGTGGAGTGCATCGTTTTGTTAACTTTGTGGTTTATTATTTTGAGTCGTTTGGGACGCGGTAACACACTGCTCTCTCACAATATATTCCTTTACTGATCTATCACTTTTGCCGCTCAGAAATGTTCACGCATTCATGCTGCACTTATCAGAAGTTCAGCGCTCCGACACTACATACCCACCAACTGAACCTCGCTCTGGCCCACATCTTCCAACCGAGCCAGGTACAGCTAAAGGAACCGCGGCACGGAGCGATCGCACTAGTCAAACGAACTGGGCTTTGGGGATCAAACGCGCTCGGGCACAGTTAAGATTGCCCCTAGTGTGGGTACACCCTTTATATTTAATTTGATTACATTAATGTTATAAGTTGAGATTTACAAGAAATATTTTAACTGCTATGTAAAAGGAATACTGCTGTAAAAAAGCACCTTATTTGTTTAAAGTGTTTGCAAACCAAATGTTATTGCACTTTTGTTCATACAGCAGTACTTTTAAATGAAAAAAGTGCGTAATACACTACTTTTGAATTCATTATTGAATGTTGTGCATAACAATGCGATTAATCGCAGAAAATCATGCGATTAATCGCGATTAAAAATTGTAATCGTTGCCCAGCACTAGTTTTAACCAATAAATATCTCGTCTTACATTTATATCCATTTATTTTCAACACACCCGCACCACATTTAAAAAGAACCCACCTATATTTTTCCTTCCCAAACAATGGCAATAATTGTGTAATACTTTTAATTAATGTTTGAAAATATTATTTATAATGCTATATACATTTTAAAAAATGAAACTAAAACGAAACTAAATTTTATTGCAAATTTGAAAACAATATTAAAATAAAACAAATTAAAAAAAATGCTAAACTATAATAACCTTGCTTTACATATAAACTGATTAGGTTGTGGGTCATTTTGGAGGACACATGTGAAAATGTTTTTGAGTACACTCCTTAAACCCACTCAAAAGAAAAAAAGAATCGTGTAAAACCCAGTAAACTTGAGATTGACTTTAGAACAAAACATGAATATGGTAACATATGTATAACACTAAATTGAACAATACTCTCTTATATATGTTTTTTTATTCATTAAACTTTTTCTTTTAAATTAAGCATTTAAAATTTTAGACAAGTGCAAGTTTGTTGCTTAAAGAAAAAATTGTCACATTTACAAAATCAGGTGATTGTGTTCACCCATCTATGCAAATGTATGTTTATGTAGAGATCAAGGTTATTATAGTTTTGCATTTTTAAATTTGTTTTATTTTAATATCGTTTTCAAATTTGCAATAAAATATAGTTTTGTTTTTATTAGTTTCAATAATAATTTTGTTAGTTTTAGGCTAGTTTAGTTTTTATTTTGTGAACACATTTCTATTTCGTTTTTATATAGTTTCGTTTCAGTTTTAGTAATTGAAGTTTAGCAGAATTAACAGATCACTTCCGGTGCGCAGACCAAAGAAAGACTTTAACCTTATTGACGCAAACGTCTAGTTTATTCGTGTGCACACTCTGCAGTCTGAAGACCGTCAAAGATTTCTATTTACAATTCGATTTGCAGCGTTGCGCATTATAGCCATTCGCGCAGCAGCTGAAGTCACTGACAGCTTAGGGAGCGCTCTTTGCTTGCTTTCTGTAGCCTATACAATTTTATTTTATAAGTTTTATTTTTAATGCTTCTATAAAGGACCAACGGTCACGTATAGGCCTACTGCAGAGTTTAAGGAGAGACAATCGCATTTAACAGTAAAGGCATATTTAAATATGTTCTTTTCTTTTATGAAGAATTATAAGCGTGTAGTTCATGCACATTTGTTCAAAACAGCCTTTGGCGGATGGACTTTTTCACATTTCCGGGTTTCTCAGCAGCGGAAGTCGTCATAGTTGGGTTAACTTGAATAGCAGTGAATGGAACTATGAAGAATTATAAGTGTGTGGTTTATGCACATTTGTTCAAAATAGCCTGGCAGATTGTTCACAAGATGTAGGAAAAAGTTTTGTATTGTTTACAGAAAGGATACGCGTTCTCATCTTTTTTTCTGTTAATTATGTTGCGCTGCTTGTCTATTTTTCTTCAAAGCACCGACTTAGAATGCCTAATGTTGGTTTGATTTCTTGTGTTACATGAGAAAATAAATAATTTTGCCTACCTGATGTAGCAGATTTTTTGCGAGTGCCGTTCGTGTTGCAGTCTTTATGTCAAACAGGTCGGGTACATATGGGGGTAGAATTGTTGCATTATTCCAAATAAATATATTATGATCCACAAATAAATGTAAAGAGATTTACAAAAAATTAAACATATTGACAAATAAATGAGATCCACAAATAAATCTCAGAGTTTCACAAACATTAAATTCACAAATAAAATGAGATTTGCAAATAAAAAACATATTCACAAATACATTTTTATGTCACAAACACAACTTTGCCTGCCATTCATTTGTGAGTGTCCTGTATATTTGTAGATCGCTCGCTGTGCAGGAAATTTAAGGGCCATAAAAATTGATACAGTAAAAGATGTTTAAAATTGTATTTAGTTAGATCATTAGACTGTGTATCAAGCCAAGCCACAATATATTTTACATGCCTTTGAAAATGCCAGAGAAACAGCGCTTTAAATCACGGCTATGGAAACAATGCTATACTGGATACAAACGCGTTATGGAAGCGTCATTCAAGATGGAAAGAAAAGCGTCAAAAAGTAACTGACTAATAAATTACTGGATTCAACCTCATGATAAACATGCGAGTTTGTGTAATAGGTTAAATTGCCGTTAAACAACAGCCAACATAACAGTGTTTTCCATTTTTTCCAGTGAAGCAGTTTGGATGAGATGGATATGGATATGAGTAGCTATGTGGATCTAACGATGTATATAGCATTATAAATAATATTTTCAAACATTCAAAAGTATTACACATAAAAGTATTTGGGAAGGAAAAAATATAAGTGGGTTCTTTTTTAAATGTGGTGCAGGTGTGTTGAAAATAAATGGATATAAGTTTAAGACAAGAGATATTTATTGGTTAAAACACTTGATCACGCAAAAAATATTTCATATGAATCAGACTTACTAGTTTTGTTTGTAAAAGTTACTTAACACGGCACGACAGCTTTCCAATATTCACGCTACTGACGTCTGTACTTCCAGGTCAGAGAGCAGCTGTCCATTCAAAATCTCACTAGCCAATCAGAGTAGACCGCTGTTAAACCCGCCCTCACGAGAGATTTGTGCCAAAACAGTAAATGAAAATTTGCGAAGCGTAAGCGAAATCTATCTGTGGCAACGCATTCAAAATCCACGATTTGTGAAAACGAATATTTGAAAATTGTTAAAGAATTAAGTATATTGAGCATTTCACTGTAAATGCTCAGAAAATTCTAACTCTGCTTTAAAGTTCTTTATAATTTGAAATGTCAAGACCATGAACAGCATTTCATGTGTAGGAAGATGAGTGAATGTTGTATTTCTGTCATGGATATAATGTGGCAGATTAACAAACAAATTATAAAAACTAGAGTGAACTAAACTCATGTTCTCATATGTCTTTGCTTCAGGTTTACTGTGCTTCTAATGTTGAGCTAATCACACGAACACGTACTGACCATCTCACCGGCCAGCACAAAACAAAACCCAAAGGTATGTTTGACTGAAGGACTGACCAGTTTGTTTTTCAAATCAAAATTTGATTATGTGCTCACACTGGCATTTTTGGCATATTTTCAGAAATTTCAATAACACATCGAAAATAATAATTTTATTAAATCAATACTATACCGTGCAAAAGTTTTGGGTCAGTAAGAGTTTTAAAAAATAAATTACTACTTTTATTCAGCAAGAAAGCATTAAATTGATCAAAAGTGACAGTAAATACATTTATAACGTTTCAAGTGATTTTTATTTCAAATAAATGCTGTTCTTTTCTATATTCTATAGAAAGTTTCAGCTTTCATTAAAGAATCCTGAAAAAAGTGTATCATGGTTTCCACAAATGTATTAATCAGCACAACTGTTTTCAACACTGATAATAATAGGAAATGTTTCTTTAGCAGCAAATCAGCATATTAGAATGATTTCTGAAGGATCATGTGACACTGAAGAGTGAAGTAATAACTGCTGAAAATTCTTAAAATAAATTAAAATAGAAAACAGTTATTTTAAATGTAATAATATCTCAAAATATCACTGATTTTACTGTATTTTTAATTAAATAAATGCAGTCTTGCTGAGCATAAGGCAGAAAATACAGATAAAGAAATTTAGTTTTTGAAGCGCATATGCTGTTTTTTCAACAAAACACAATGAGCATGTGTATTGGTGGGCATGCCGTAGTGAATATGAATATTCATTATTTCTATGCCCACTCAAATTATTCCCAAACAAACAGCGTCTTTGTCTTGTCTACGGTTACTGTGATGTAATACAGATACTTGGGATTATGCACGTCTTCTGTAATGTGACCTGCTGTGTTTTTGTCTCAGGCAGCAAGACTCCTCTACAGTCCTTCCTGGGTATCGCTGAACAGCACATAGGGCCTAACAACGGAGTGAGTGAACAGAGATGCACATTTGTTCAAAATAGCCTGGCAGATTGTTCACAAGATGTAGGAAAAAGTTTTGTATTGTTTACAGAAAGGATACGCGTTCTCATCTTTTTTTCTGTTAATTATCATGTTGCGCTGCTTGTCTATTTTTCTTCAAAGCACCGACTTAGAATGCCTAATGTTGGTTTGATTTCTTGTGTTACATGAGAAAATAAATAATTTTGCCTACCTGATGTAGCAGATTTTTTGCGAGTGCCGTTCGTGTTGCAGTCTTTATGTCAAACAGGTCGGGTACATATGGGGGTAGAATTGTTGCATTATTCCAAATAAATATATTATGATCCACAAATAAATGTAAAGAGATTTACAAAAAATTAAACATATTGACAAATAAATGAGATCCACAAATAAATCTCAGAGTTTCACAAACATTAAATTCACAAATAAAATGAGATTTGCAAATAAAAAACATATTCACAAATACATTTTTATGTCACAAACACAACTTTGCCTGCCATTCATTTGTGAGTGTCCTGTATATTTGTAGATCGCTCGCTGTGCAGGAAATTTAAGGGCCATAAAAATTGATACAGTAAAAGATGTTTAAAATTGTATTTAGTTAGATCATTAGACTGTGTATCAAGCCAAGCCACAATATATTTTACATGCCTTTGAAAATGCCAGAGAAACAGCGCTTTAAATCACGGCTATGGAAACAATGCTATACTGGATACAAACGCGTTATGGAAGCGTCATTCAAGATGGAAAGAAAAGCGTCAAAAAGTAACTGACTAATAAATTACTGGATTCAACCTCATGATAAACATGCGAGTTTGTGTAATAGGTTAAATTGCCGTTAAACAACAGCCAACATAACAGTGTTTTCCATTTTTTCCAGTGAAGCAGTTTGGATGAGATGGATATGGATATGAGTAGCTATGTGGATCTAACGATGTATATAGCATTATAAATAATATTTTCAAACATTCAAAAGTATTACACATAAAAGTATTTGGGAAGGAAAAAATATAAGTGGGTTCTTTTTTAAATGTGGTGCAGGTGTGTTGAAAATAAATGGATATAAGTTTAAGACAAGAGATATTTATTGGTTAAAACACTTGATCACGCAAAAAATATTTCATATGAATCAGACTTACTAGTTTTGTTTGTAAAAGTTACTTAACACGGCACGACAGCTTTCCAATATTCACGCTACTGACGTCTGTACTTCCAGGTCAGAGAGCAGCTGTCCATTCAAAATCTCACTAGCCAATCAGAGTAGACCGCTGTTAAACCCGCCCTCACGAGAGATTTGTGCCAAAACAGTAAATGAAAATTTGCGAAGCGTAAGCGAAATCTATCTGTGGCAACGCATTCAAAATCCACGATTTGTGAAAACGAATATTTGAAAATTGTTAAAGAATTAAGTATATTGAGCATTTCACTGTAAATGCTCAGAAAATTCTAACTCTGCTTTAAAGTTCTTTATAATTTGAAATGTCAAGACCATGAACAGCATTTCATGTGTAGGAAGATGAGTGAATGTTGTATTTCTGTCATGGATATAATGTGGCAGATTAACAAACAAATTATAAAAACTAGAGTGAACTAAACTCATGTTCTCATATGTCTTTGCTTCAGGTTTACTGTGCTTCTAATGTTGAGCTAATCACACGAACACGTACTGACCATCTCACCGGCCAGCACAAAACAAAACCCAAAGGTATGTTTGACTGAAGGACTGACCAGTTTGTTTTTCAAATCAAAATTTGATTATGTGCTCACACTGGCATTTTTGGCATATTTTCAGAAATTTCAATAACACATCGAAAATAATAATTTTATTAAATCAATACTATACCGTGCAAAAGTTTTGGGTCAGTAAGAGTTTTAAAAAATAAATTACTACTTTTATTCAGCAAGAAAGCATTAAATTGATCAAAAGTGACAGTAAATACATTTATAACGTTTCAAGTGATTTTTATTTCAAATAAATGCTGTTCTTTTCTATATTCTATAGAAAGTTTCAGCTTTCATTAAAGAATCCTGAAAAAAGTGTATCATGGTTTCCACAAATGTATTAATCAGCACAACTGTTTTCAACACTGATAATAATAGGAAATGTTTCTTTAGCAGCAAATCAGCATATTAGAATGATTTCTGAAGGATCATGTGACACTGAAGAGTGAAGTAATAACTGCTGAAAATTCTTAAAATAAATTAAAATAGAAAACAGTTATTTTAAATGTAATAATATCTCAAAATATCACTGATTTTACTGTATTTTTAATTAAATAAATGCAGTCTTGCTGAGCATAAGGCAGAAAATACAGATAAAGAAATTTAGTTTTTGAAGCGCATATGCTGTTTTTTCAACAAAACACAATGAGCATGTGTATTGGTGGGCATGCCGTAGTGAATATGAATATTCATTATTTCTATGCCCACTCAAATTATTCCCAAACAAACAGCGTCTTTGTCTTGTCTACGGTTACTGTGATGTAATACAGATACTTGGGATTATGCACGTCTTCTGTAATGTGACCTGCTGTGTTTTTGTCTCAGGCAGCAAGACTCCTCTACAGTCCTTCCTGGGTATCGCTGAACAGCACATAGGGCCTAACAACGGAGTGAGTGAACAGAGCCTGTCAAGAATTTGTTCATTTATCATCAAGACATCTAAAGTGCTTTTCTAGTATTATGTCACTTCAGTAGCCCCAAAATTAAGTGTGTGTGTATATGTGTGTGTGTGTGTTTTTCAGCAAACTATGGTGACTCAGATATCATGCCCTGCAACGAACCCTTTGGCCGTGACGGCTGAGGAGTACTTTAGTCCCAACATGAGTCAGAGAGACATCGGCCAGCCCTGTCACCTCACCACCAAAACACAAAGGTAGTGCATCAATCCAACACTGCTTTCATTTTCATTTTGAGACACATTCTAAATAAAATGGTTCTTTCACATTGTTATGCAGTTTCTATCGTGTGCTGAGTGGTTGCTTATTGTAAAAAGAGTTCACAATCCAGATTGTGGTCTTTTCCTGATCCCCTCTCCATTTGTTTCTTGTCTTTCCTCAAAGAGTCTTATCAAAATAAATAAATAACCCAAAACTGTAAACAATAGTAATAATGGTACTTATTCATACAAAACCATTAATAATGAGATGTGTTCCTCTTCAAATAGTTTCCTGATGCTGCTTTCAAGTGCACCTGGGAAGCTTTCAAGTTGGAAACATAACACAGAAGTAGCCTAAACAAAACAAAAGAATTATATTGTGAATGATAAATCTGCATTACTATATCTAAATTTAAAATGATGAAAATTGTTTATTTTCATCACTTATTTATACATGGTATCAAAATTAATGTTTGTTACTGCTTAAATAAGACTTTGCTTGGTCATTATTAATATTTGCAGAACTCATAATTATGATATATCTGACTGTTGGTATTATTAACGAAAACAAAAACTGTTAAAAATTGTTTTCAGTAATTGAAATTAACTATATTTTACTTGACAAAATAAAATATAAATATTAGATTACAAACTTAAAATCAAACTTTGAGAAATTGAAAATTAGAAATGTTGCTTTGGCAACCAACTGAAATAAATACGTTGAAGTACTAAAATTACTAAAACTAAAATAGAAATAAAGCTATATAGAAATATATCTGTCACGTGTATGTTCCGGTTGAGTTCCTGTTTTCCTTATTTGGTCCTTCCTGTTCCTGTCCCAATGTAGTTTGATTTGTTCCAGGTGTGTCTCATTATTAGTTATCCTCCTCACCTGTCTGCCCCTCGTTATCTGCCCTATTTAGTTCTAGCCTGTTCTGAGTTTCTTTGTCTGGAATTGTGTTGGTCAACTCCTTGTGCTACGTGTGATTCCCTGAAAAAAATAATTAAACTCCTGTTTTGTACTCCTGGTCTCCTCGTTCCTCACAGTAGCAACCCGTGACAGAATTCCAGACCCAACAAAAAGTGAGCGGCGACTTTTCCTCGCGTTTGATTTTTCCGCCTTTTTGAGAAGGTTTTTTTTGTTTGTTTTCCCTGTTTTCCCCACGGCTATGGAAATTGCCGCTCTGTTCTCTACCTTAGCTCGCCTAGATCTCCCCTTTGTTGAGTATTCCTGGGAGTTCTGCAGGCTCACCGCGGCTACGGCCCTCGATGATGCCACCATTAATTCTCTGTTCTGGCTCGGGGCCAACTACCATCGCCCCATGGACCTCCCAAGGGATCTACCTGATCCTGTGGAGTGTCCGGGCCCGAGCCAGAACCAGCCCGCTGTCAAGCCCGCGGCTCTCTCCAGCCCGCCGTCCGTTCCTCAGTCAAGCCCCCGGCCGCGGCCCTCTCCAGCA